CCCCAAAACCCCAAAACCCCAAAACCCCAAAACCCCATAAAAGATTTAATGCTGTAAAAATTTTAAATTATCGTTAACTGAATACTTTTAAATGTTGAGAAGAGTAAAAACATCTTACAAAGCTAAAAAGAACCAGAATAGTAGCATCTTGGAGAAAAAGCAGAAGCTGAAGGCCTCTAGAGAAAATAGAGCTAGTAAATTAGAGAAGAAGAGAGCTAGGAAATTAAATTTTGGTGAGAACAGTAACCCTAACAATACAAACGACCAACTAAAAGTCGTTACTAGCATTAAATATGACGCTGTAGGGTATAAGAGACAGAAGATTTGAGAAGAAGATGCCATTACATCCACTGCTGCTTCTTTTACTTCTGAGCCTCGAGGTAGAATAAGGGAAAGCTTGAGACCCAAGCCTGTAACTAATGAAGAGAGTGAAATAGTAAAATCCAGTAAATCCGCCTTTGGTAATCCCTTAAAGATATCATTAAAAGTACAGAAGAGTGATAAATGAAGATACTTTAACTTGTTCAATGAGAAAGACTTGAAATGGTCAAGAGTAGTGTCCCATACCCTCATCGATAATGAAGAAGATGATGACTGACAAACTGACCAAGAAGCTCTAGAGAATAGCATAAATTACAATCTTAGACAGATAGAGACAATAAAAGATAATTTGGAAAGCAAAAAGTATAAATTTAGAACCAAAAATCAACAAAGCTTTGATCTGAAGGAAAGCATCAGTTCAGTATTCAGACATTTTTGGAAATTCGTTAATAACTTTAAGTAAAAATTGAGTAAAAGATAAAAAATTTGGTATTTTAGCTTATTTACAAAAGATAAGATACTAAATAGATCAATAATAGCCCCTAGTTTTGTAGATTGATAATGAAGAATTTTCAAATTTGGATAAAAAATATACTTTCTGATAAAAATGTCCTTTAAAACTGCAAATAATCTTCGAAATTTCAAATGAGCATCAAATTAGTCCAAAATTCGCGGACAAATTTTTAGAAAAACTTCGAATAATTCACGGTCTCCTTAACTTGGCCCGTGAGAATAATCCTAAAATAATCTCAAAATGAACGCAACCAAAATCAACAAGTGGATCCCTCGTGAAACTATTCAAGAACTTGATGAGGACTGATTCGAAATGAGGATGCCTAACATTGCTAAAATTCAATCACAACCTTTTGACCCTGAAAACTACCAGCCTGAGAAGGCAATCCAGTACAAGAATGAGCATGGCCTGATCAAGGAGAAGAGCTTCAACCTCCTCAACGTCATCAGATGGAGATATACCGACAGCACCACTGAGCCCTTTGTCCTCACTGACAAGGCCAAGCAAATGCAGGAAGCAGTGGGCTACAAGCCTCGGTACCCTGACAAGCAAATTGAGAGCAATGCGAAGATAGTCGAGTGGTCTGATGGAACCTTCTCGATGATGATCGGAGACGAAATATTAGACCTCAACTTCTCTAAAACAACTAATAGTCATTTGTACCTCAAGACTGACGACCTACTCGTGCATAAGAACAAGGTCAACCGTAAATGTCTCGTGAAGCCATCGAAGGAGTCAAAAAGAGCAATGAGATCCATTGTGCAAAATGCCAATGAGAAGGCCAAAGAGAAGCACCAGGTTGAGAAGAAATGCAGCCTGGACGACGACCCTCGTTCTAGGAAAAGACGCCACTACGACCGTATTGACAACAAGAACAATCTCGAAAGGAAGAGAGCAAGAAGGAACTTCCTGATGTATAATGACTAATTCAATCTAAAGTCAGATTCGCGGGGTTTTGGGGTTTTGGGGTTTTGGGGTTTTGGGG